TGGGCTTGAGAGATAAGCCCCATCGTTTGATGAGCGCCAACCAAAAATCGGACATGAACCGAGTGTCGCGGTCGCAGACGATCTCCTTGGGGTAACCCTTGGTGCGAATCCAACCMGCGTACAGAACCYCGRCCAACTCCGGTGCCTTGGCATGATAGCGACAAGGCAAAAACATGGCGAACTTGGTGAGTCGRTCRACCACCGTGAGAATCCCATCCACTCCGGTCTTGTGCTTGGGGAACGGGCCGGTAATGTCCATGGCAATCGCTTCCCTTCGCCTCAACGGGACCGGCAATGGTCGTAGCTCGCCGTACGGACGATGGTTGCGGGAYTTGCAGCGTCGGCAAACCTCGCAAGACTCGCAATAACGCGTGACGTCGCTGAGAAGGCCAGGCCACCAAAAGGGCCGCGATCTTGGAGTAGCCTTCGATAAAGCGCTGATAGTAGCCGGTAAGACCAAGGAACGAGCGAACTTCCGTGACGTTCCGAGGCTCCGGCCACTCCTGGACGGCCTGAATCTTGTCCGACAACGGACTGATGCCCTCCACTGTGACAAAATGGCCCAAGTATTCCAGCTCCTGCCGGGCAAATTCACACTTGTCGCGGTTGGCCTTGTACTTGGCGCGGCGGAGCGTCTCCAACACTCGTCGAAGGTGCCCCAGATGATCCTCCAATGACCGACTGTAGACGAGAATATCGTCTAAGTAGACCAGCACGAACCGTTCCAACATTGCACGGAACTCGTTGGTCATCGCCGCCTGGAACGTCGYCGGGGCGTTGGTGAGGCCAAAAGGCATGACCACCCACTCAAAATGCCCGTACCGTGTCTTGAACGCGGTCTTGTAGCGATCGTGCGGCTGGATYGAGATTTGATGATATCCCKATTTCAAATCCAACTTGGAAAAATACTTCGCGCCGCCCAGTCGCTCGAGAAGATCGTCGATGCGAGGCAGAGGCCCCGCATTCTTGATGGTTTGCGCGTTGAGCTTGCGGTAGTYGATACACAATYGTAGATCCTTGTTCTTCTTCYTGACGAAGAGAACAGGTGCTCCATATGGGGAGCTGCTCGGGCGGATCCAGCCTTTGGCCAACAAATCATCGAGTTGTGCGCGGAGTACCTCAAGCTCCTCCTCGCTCATCCGATAGATGCAACCTTTCGGCGGCACAGCACCGGCCTCAAGAATGATCTCGTGAGAGATCGGCCGATCCCGCACCACACCGGTAAGTGACTCGAAGATATCGGCAAACTCGTCCAGCAACCGCACCACACGGGGGTCCGAAGACAAGTCCGTGGGGGAAGAGTCGGCTACCGCGACGGTCTGTAGGAAACATAGGCCGATCTCATCGGGCTGCTCGTAGGCACAAGTCGCCCGGAATGATTTGGCCGTTACCACTTGGCACCGGATCGAAGAGTGCGGTAGAGGAACAGTACACGCCACTTCCGCGCCGAAGGCGTCCCGAACGCTAAGAGTCCGCCGATGGAAGTTGACCGTGTGATCCGCACTTGCAGGCCAAGGCATTCCCATAATGATGTCGAAGTCCGTGTCGAGAATATCAAACGTGACCGGTTCGCATGCATGAGGTGCGAAGTAGACCGGTACGKCCTCGATGTAACGGTCGAGAAGTTGCTGCGTCTTACCGTCCGCCAACTTGATCGCCGTCGGGTTTGCCTTCCTCCGAACCTATGCGCCAAGGCCAGCCCTTTGCATAAAGGATTGGCTCATGAAGTTGCGAGTCGCGCCGCTATCCAGCAAAGCGCTGCAGGACGCTTGCCCAACCTGAATGCGGACATACATSAGCGGTGBGTTGTTGTCATCRTACCGCTGCGTGCGAAACTCGCGGGCCACCTTGGTAGTATACGCCAAGATGTCCCCCACCGCGACTTCGTCATCCGTCGGCGAAGTTGGTGGTGYATAGAAGGATAGGTAAGTGTGAAGATTACCGCTAAGTGCTGCGCATTGCGGTCCCGGCAATCGACCGGTGGTCGGGAGAGGAAGCCATGCAAAGTCCTCAGACGTGAGCGGGTCCAATGCCTCTATGYTGAACTCGCGCGCCGAATCCCGTGAARAACCACTTGAAGATGAACTGTCGCCGTTGCCGGACGGAGAAGAAACCGCACACACTCCTTGTCCTTGAGCTTGAGTACCCAGCGTTGGAACGAGCCGGGCAGCGTAGTCCTCAAAAGAAAGTAGAAGAGGAGGACTATCGACTTCCGCATGCGCCTCGGAATGAAGGCCGGCTACTCGCAAAGAAACCGGTTYCGAAGGCGTCGAGAGTGTCGTCGAGTCACTCTCGGCGGTGCTCAGTTTCCCTGTCTGCCCTTGCCTTTCAATGGGCAAGCGTGCGTCAGGTGAAGATCGCTGTTGCACCAAAAGCGCGCCTTGAATGCGGACTCGGAGATGCCATACTAGGTCCATGGGCCTGTCTGAGCTGCTGCACCGGGCCCGGGGCTAGATGCGGTGTGTGTCTTCGTCCTGCCGCGTCCTCGGCCTTTGCCGGGGCGATCACCTTCCCGGACGGCTGCGAGTCTGACTCCTTCATTGGCAGACACAGCCTCGCTGGTTTGGTCTAACGGCGTTGCCGCTGCGACCACGGCCACTCTTGGCCGATGCTGGTCCCTGCTCGGGCCTGAYGCAGAWRAACRAAGGTTMTTGGCCTCCKTGTTTGTGATAATGATCTGCGCAGCCTTGTCGAACAACTCCGCCGTCGTCGTCAAGGTGTCTTCGACATGCGTCAGGGCATTGCTCAATGCCGGACATGACCTTGAGATGAAGTAATGGCGGATGGCCTTGAAGCCCATCTGGATGTCTGGGACTGACGTCAAGCGCTGGTACTCGGCGATCCAGTCCGTACTCGACAGCGTGCCTTGCTCAAAGACCATGAGCTTGTCCATGGCTTTGATCTCTGGCGGCTCCACCTGGAACCGCTTGTGCCCCGCCGCCTTCAGATCATCCCAACTGATCACGGTGTGCAAGTCCGCTGCTACCACTCCATACTTGGACAGGAGGTTGTCCAACCAAGCCTGGCACGCGCCCCCTGAGCGAGAGTACAAGTAGGCTTGATGCTTATGTTCCTTGACGTTGGACAGCTGCAGCGTGAGCTCGAACTTGCGAAACCATGGAATAGGATCTGTCTTCGTTGAGTCGCAGAAGATCTCCTGCCCGTCGAACTTTGGAGTGGTCTCGCGCGGTTCTGTACTCGAAGTGGTGGCGGTAGTGCAGATCCGTTGTTGCAATTGCTGTGTCGCGGTCTGCTGCGATTCTACGCCATCCTTGAGTGCACCGACGTCCATCTCCAATGCATTGAGGCGGTCGGTAGTGTTGGAAGAGCCTGCGTCTGCGGCAGCGACTGGTCGCTGCTCCAACCGCTGAAGGCGGTCTTGGAGATGAGCTAGCGAGGTGTCGAGGCCAAGGATCTCCGCCTGCTGTGTAATGCAGGTGGCCAGGAGATCCGTGAGATGCGAGAGGAGGAGCGCTATCTTGTTGGCGCTGTCCTCCAACTTGCCATCCTCGGCCTCGGTCCGCCATGTCGCTGCCATGGTAAGTAACGCCCGCTCTCCAGTGAATATCTTCTCA